GAATAGTTTTTCGTCGCCTAGAAATATGTTATGCTACAAAGCATGACCGTAACGCGTACGCTTTGCTATTATTTCAACTTTTTGCGTTTGTTGCCCATTCGATGCATGCCGCTATACTAGAAGTGCGCATGTGTGTATGCGCTTTTGTTGCTTTTCATGTGCCAGCAGTTTTTACGGTTTGCCGCCTACCTTTGTTTTTCGCACTGCTTTTCCTGCCTAATTTAAATTTTACGCCATTACCAAACCAACACATAGCCGCATGCCACATGCCATATGCCGCATGCCGCATGTGTGCATGTTTGGCTAGCGAATGCTTTTGTATGCTCGCTCGGCATTGTCTCTGTGTTGGCGCTAGGCACCATTTTGTTTATTCACACACTTCCACTGTGTCAGCCTGCTGTCCCCGCTTTTGGCTCTGGCTGCTGCTCTGCTCCTTCTAGGCTTTATGGTAATCATTTCTATTTTTACGAAAAGTTAACTAATATGTGCATATCCCTTACGGGCACAAGAGTAATATTTTTAATTTTCTATTTAGCATATTCATAGCTCATGGTTTGCCAGGAGGCATGGGTGTTGGCACGCGAGTGTTTGGTTGTTCGGTATGTTAGTGTAAGTGCAAAAGTGCTCTTTCATGCATGCAAATTTTAGGTGCAAATGAATTAATTACCGTTAGAGGCTGCTTTCACTCGGCAACCAGCCGAAACTTTTTATGGATTTTGTTGAGATTTCCGTACTTTTAGTTCGGGTCATTGCACGCAGAGAATTAAAATGCAACAAAAACAAGAACAAATGTTAATTTCGATTGTGCCGAAGCTATAACACCCTTCAAAGTTAAATTTATTATAGCATAAAAGGATATAGAAAGATTTGTATCTTGATTTTGATCGTTCAGTTTGTATGGCAGCTATATGTTATATTTATACGATCTGCACAATATCTTCGAGTTATAAACAGTTAAACAATAATATGTATCTACTTTCGTGAAGATATATTTTTAAATAAAAAAATGTTCCATACAAGAACTTGATTTTTATCGAAAGGCTGCAAAACAAAGCTACATCCTTTAGCGATCCGACAAATGAAAAGCTTCTTGGAGAAAAACGAACATGTACAAAATTTCGGAACGATATCTCAAAAACTGAGGCACTAGTTGCAGGACAGACAAACAAGCTTCGCGTCTTAACTTAATATACCCTGTTCAGCGTACAATTTATCGAAAGTGACTCTGCTATTGAGAAAACTTTTGATTAACTCTAAATATTTAATTCACTTTGGCATAACATATTTAATATGTGACTTAAAATGCGATTGTCCTTACAAGTTTTGTCTAAATACGTATTCCTTTGCGACTAGTGTTGCGTAGTAGAGAAAGTTAGCGCTGGCCTTTATTTCCTTATATAAAGACTCCTGCAGCCACTGCCACAGAAGACGCTGGAAATGGTGAATACACTTAGTCTTATTTGTAACAAATGATTTTGTACAACACATGCAGCCAGTTCTCATAGTGCAATATTTTATTACTAATTTTTTCTTGTCTTTGAGGTCTTCGTAGCAAAAGATTTATTTACTTTAAATTTCTCTTTTCAACTTAGGAATCCTTCAAATACCGCAAACGCCACAACATTAATGACCTTAGTTAGCTAAAAAGTTTGTCGGTATATTTTGCTCGTAGACCATCCAGAGCCGAGTGTGGCGTTTTCTACCTTGATCACTAAAAAACAACAACAACAAAAACTAATTACAATTATAACTACCGTTAGTAATTATAACTTTCTATTTCATGTTTATTTTCATCGAAACAGTGGAACCACATTATTACCAATAAATTCTCGCTGAAAACTTCGGTTAGTAGCATATATTTAGGGGCGCACAGCAAAGTGTAGCCTTGGTGTATGCTGCAAACTCTGCATATCCGTATTTATCTAATTATCTGCAGGTTATTAGCATTTTTTCTTATATTAAATGGCAAAAGTTAGACATTCTATGGCACACCACAAAGTCAAACTAAAAAGTATGAACATTTTGAAATGAAACAATGCATCACAGAATATTCACACATTTTTATGTTCGAAAGAGGTACATAAAGCGACGAGAATGCGCTGCCAACGAGCTCTTCGCATTTAGAAACTCACATAAATTTATGATTGGCTTTTGTTGACTTTATAACAAAGCGGTTTCACCACTTTTTAATAAATGCACTCAGCCTTAGTTATAGTGTGAATAAACTACATTCGTAATTTCGCGGCATTAAACTGTGAACATAACATAACGAAACGTTGAGCAAAATGTGAAAACTAGAAGCAGAAAATTCTTCTTTCAAAATTCTCGATTCAAGAATAGAAACTCAAATATGGAGACAAAGACTTTGCTATCTCCTCAATTTTAGTTATGCCTTAAGGCTCACGGATTAAAACTTCGGCAAAGCAAGGAGCTGAAAAGCAGAGAGCTCAAATAGCCGAACTGAACTTTTGTTTTTGATCTCTTCAGCATGTATTTTGACTACTGAATAAACTCTTATGATAATTTATAATTTATTGGAGATGTAGGCCTTAATCTTATTCATTACGCACTTTCCCTAGAAATTTATTAATATTTACATATTTACACGCAATATTGTGCACTTTATCTGCAATAATGCTTCGACTATAAAATATGATATTTAAATAAATATATTTTACTTTCCATTCTTAGGACAGTCATAGCCGCTATCTGAGCCACACAACAACAGTTTCGAGAACAAAACTGCCAATTTTCCCAACCAACAAACAAAGCTAAAATTAATGCATTTGAAAAAATCCCAAACTATTTTCGGCCCAAATCAGACTTTCAGTCAGCCAAGAATAACAACAACACAAAAATGCAACTCAGCGTTAGACTAAAATTCAACACACCGCTTAGATAGAAAAAGCTTAAACGCCACAACAACATTAGCATAGCCAAAAACAGCGAACCAAAGAAGAAAAACTTTCGAAATGTTTCAAGACAAGCGCGCGCAGCATGCGTTTGAAGCGCGCTTTATTGAAGAAAAACGCATCTATACTACAACAACACACGCACGGATTTACGAAAATATGACCAAATGCCGAGCAATGCACAACACTACAAATACACCTAGCCGGATCAACAAAGCTGGTAAAGCCACTTGTCATTTAACGAACTTCACCCAGCGTTTGCTACATTTCATGTTGTCAACAGTCGCTGCACTGTTGGTGGCGAATGTATTTTTACCGCACTTGGCCGAGGCCTCCACACTGGAGATCTATAAAAACGCGCGACTCGGCCATCGCATTGTACAGACCCGTTATGGGCGCCTACATGGCCTAATCTTACCGTTGGATAATTTTCGCTTTCTGCGCTCGGTAGAGGTGTTTCTTGGCGTACCATATGCGACGCCACCGACAAAACAAAACCGGTAAGTTCCCACTAGTAAATAATGATTAAGAATATTCGTAATTAATAGCATTTAGCAAGTCAAATTCTACAAATGTGTACTTGTACTTTGAACTTAATGATGATAAACCCAACTTTTGTCATATCCATCACAGTTGGCACACAAATTCACTCGTTGTTAATACATCACACACTTTAACTGCGAAGTTGCAGATTTCCAGTTCTCATCCTTTTACTAAAATTACTTAATTTACTCAATTAACCAAACAATAGAAGGCAATCATGCGCAATTTTTGTTTTGATGTCAAATATGCAACACGCTTGGAAAAAACAATTGACGAAAATATTAATAAAGTCCAACAATCATATAAGCAGTATTCGGAATGCCTAGGAGCTAAATGTTGCACAAAAAACCATTTGGTACCATTTAAATAAGACTGAAGATAAAAAGAAGCTCAATGTATGGATGCCACACGAGTTAACACAAAAAAAGGCTAGTACAATTACATACGCCAATTGCTGCTGGGTCGCAACAAAATCGACCCATTTCTGAAACCGATGTTCATTGGAAAGGGGGCCACTTGCGGCAAAAGGTGGCTAAACCGAGATTGACGGTCAGCAAGGGTTTTCTGTGTGTTTTGTGGGAATAATTTCACCATCTGAAGTAACTAATCACCCCCAAGTGGCGAGCTTTGGCCTATTGCAGATTAATTGCGTTTCATTAGGACAACGCCACACATCGATAGTGACTCACCGGAAGCTTCGGGAGTTTGATTGAGATTACAGTTTGGATCTGGCATCAAGAGATTACTACGTGTCCCTATATATACAGCACAAGCCCAATCAAATTTGAATTGCCTGCAAAATAGGTTAAGATCCCTGGAAACATCAGTTCAATAAACAAATATGAAATTTTACTTTCAACATGAAATCGTGACATATTTTTAAGCCAACGTTGTCAGTGTTGGTTGAGTTCAACAACAATTTTATCAGATCAGTAATATTTTCAAACATATTTTTTCTCGTCTTGTCAGCATCAATGCCTGTATGTGGGAGTGTGAGTCAATCAACAATCCATCAAATTTTACGCGCTTCTTTTATATTTATCGCCTGCATTTATCTCCTGCGGCGCAATGGAATTTAATATAACTTTATGTGAACAACACTCCTCACACCGCAGTTGCACTTCTGAAAGCAGCAAGCAACAACTCAGCTGGTTTCCCGTGTAGTAATCATAAAATAACACGATAAAGCCTGCTTTCAGCTTCAAATTAACCGATTTTATGGCAGCTCATTTGCATGTTAAAGGCGCATAAGAAAATTTTATATACATTCACTGAATGAGTATGTTTCACCATTTCAAGCACTTTCGCGAAATCTTCATTATTCTACAGCATTTGATGAGCGCTCTGCCATTTGATTACTGGAGAAATTTTGCCAAACAAGCAGCGCGTCTACAGCCACAACCCACAATGAGGCCGAAGAAATCATTTGCGAAAATAATGGTCCGCATTGCAGTTGTATGTTAGTTGTTGTTGCAGTTTTTATGTTTGCGAAGAATACCTTTAAGAGCATTGCGATAGGTTTGTGTTGAAGTGGTGAACTTTCTGAGATTTTCTTCGAATGAGTGCAGCGACCAAAATTAATTTGTTGTATAATGCAAGCATAATGATAACAATAACAGCAAAATGTTGCATGCAGAAGTGCGCGGTTGAGAATGTCCAAATGCGACAGCTGAGTGGAGTGAAGCGTGTTTTAATGCACAATATAAGCGCCGTTGCTGTTATTGTTGCTTTGTGTTTGTTACAATTGTGCAATAAAATTGTAATGATAATTTCATAATGAAATGCATTAAAGTAAACTGTATCCACACCAGAGGCGCGAAGTGAAACTGAGAATTTAAATGCGAATTCATTAGAAATTGTCGCTGCTTACAGGGACACGGAAGACGCAAAGAGCTAAACGTTAATGCAAAATCCTGCGATTGCATTTAAATCTTATGTATATATATAAAAGAGAAAGTTTGTATGTATAGCAAGGCGTCACCGAAGTTTGCTAGTTATCTTTTTCTATTTCTTATAGCATAAAAGGGTATAAAAAAGTTTACCTCGATTTTGATTCATCAGTTTAAGTATTGTAGCAGCCATATATTATAGTGGACCGATCTGAACATTTTTCTACACAAGAGTTTAATTAATAGTATTTTTCTTTGCAACGGTAAAATATTTGAACAAAATGTTCAGATCGGACGAGCCAGTCATGTTTATATACATATATATGCTATTCAGAGTACAAAAATGGGCTTTTAATGGCATTGCAATTTGTGAAAATGACAAAAGTTTTGCAAACTACCAAATTCGCAGCGAAATTTATGCGAAAACAATCGTTAGTGGACTGATAAACCACTATTTCACACCACCTCACTAGTAGTCGTCCAACACGCTGCCATTGATACCTTCTTCCTCTGCGTCTCACTGCTTTTGTATTTCCCACAGGTAATGAAAAACTGCCAGTTATGTGCTTAAACCAATGCTCATGCCTAGGTTGGCCTTTCTGCCGCCTGCTACCGCAATCAAAACAAATTAAATTAATTGAAGCGCTTTGACAGCTTGTTTGCCTAAAAGTTTGCCACAATTTTTACTCCGTTTTACGTGTAAGGACCGACTTCTATGTCAATAAGCAAGCACAATTAACTTCCAGCTCACACTTCTCCCTTTAAGCGACTTAGTGCTGGCTTAGCGATGTTTTCGCTTCATTTCAGCTTTCGCCGCACCAAAAGTCCGCCATCAAAAAAATATATATTATAGATACACAAGAAAACACGGTAAAAAAAGTTGAGACCGGAAATTGAAGAAGCACCTAGAGTGAAGGGCAAAAAGCGTAATGACAACATACACAGTATGTAATCCCGAATATTTGCCCACGGTAAGCAAATGTGGTTGCAACAACAGAAGTAATACGAGTTGAGATATAATCCAAAGCTTACATTAAGGCGCACTCACAATAAGCAATTGGGTGGTGAGAGCGAGAGCGCACGAGACGCAATAAAAAATTTAAAAAGCTGCTGTAACATCATCGCAAGCAATTGTGCTGAAACTTTTTATCATTTCTCATTTTCTAAGCAGATCAACGGCCAGTGGTTGCCATGGTCACCACGTGGCACGACTCTAGCATACGCCCCGACACATAATGCGCAAAGTGGATGATGATAACGGCATTACGTCAGAATATCAAATGTTTACTGGCGGCTGAGTGGCTCAAATATTTTTAAATATTTTTAAATATTTGAGTGCCCTGGATAATAAAAAACTGCTTTCCACTTCATCAGATCAGCGCACCGCACCGGTGGGCTCAAGTATCCCCGTTGGAAAAGCGTGTCCGCCAACGCTTATACGAACTTTATAGAAAGGTAGGAAAAAGCACTAGTGCGGTGTGAGCACCGAGGAAATTGAGAGGAATTTCCAGATGGTTTGTTGTTAGGTCTGCTTGGTACTCACATTACTTAGAACTCTCAACGCAAATTACTTGAGGGTACAAACAATTCGGCCGGTCCACTCCAGTGTGACCTTAAGGCGATTAAAAAACCTGAAAGTTATTAATAATATGCTTAATAATTGAAAAGAAATAATTTGGCAGTGGATGACAAAGTTTGAAAACCAACAAAAAAGATGTGTAAATAAAAGAATTTATTAATTTTACAAGCGGTCATCAAAACTAAAAGTATTTAAGAGAGTTATTATTAGAGAGTTCTTAAGCACATTTGCTAGAAAATGTATATAAGAGGTAGCAAATTTTGCAGTAAGGAAATAACAGAAACGGTTTAGAGCATATTTTTCTATAGTTGATAAGTTAGTTTTTGACACCAGTCAGACTTTGAATTGTGTTTTGTTAATGAAAATATTTTTAGATTACAATTGAAAGTGAATTCACTTCAAGATTGAGTATTGTCGAATGGACGGCTCCTCGAATGCATGGCAAGACTTCAGTCAGATCAGATATCGGATTGCAGCTAGATAAAGCCTTTAATCTTTCTGTTACTTCAAACGACTCTGACAGCTTTCATTAGGGAAATTCTACGAGTTAAACGCATTCTTGGCACAGGAATAAACAAATTTTTTAAATTTGTAGCGCCACTCATCCTCGTCCGCCCTAATTACGTGTGGCAAGACTGCGACAAATGCTTTTATCTTTAATGTCTCTGAGAGTAGGGAAAAACTTTCCAATGTTATTGAATAATGTGCAATGAAATACAGCTGCAATAACAAATAATTATGTTGGCGCCAAAAAGAGCTCTATCCACTCGTTCAACTATGCTAATCAAGCGGTAAATTGCTTAGTCAAATTTGATGGCGAAACTTTCGCCAAACAGCTGTAAAAAACAATAATAAAAGTAATAAAATTGGCAAAAATTAAAAACTGGTAGTAAAAATAAGGAAAAATACGCGGAGGCTGCGGTATGTGTAAACTAAGGTGAAATTGCAGCGCTCATTTCTCAGCTAATTAATTTATTTGATTTCCACTTCATCACTAGCAGATTAGTGCTGCAACTATGCATGTGTGCATTGATGTGCGTGTGTCCGAAAGAAAAGGTTCGCCACTTAACACCAAATTTGTGATCAATCGCCGTAATCTATTTTCTTTTCAGCCTCTAAACATGTTTTTCAATTCTAATGCGCTTTTTTCTCTTTCGATGTTGCACAGGTTTAGTCCGACACGTGCACCCGCACCATGGGACGGCATACGCATTTCGGACAAATACAGCCCGGTTTGTCCGCAACGCTTGCCGAATATACAAAACGAGACAGCGGCGTTGGAAAAAATGCCCAAAGGACGCCTGGAGTATTTGAAAAGGTTGCTGCCATATTTGGAAAATCAATCAGAAGACTGCCTCTACTTGAATATATTCTCGCCAAATAATGGTAAGTCACCACCAGTCAGAAGTGGAATGTCAGGGTTAGCTAAGTGGCTGTGCGATTGTTGGATGGCAAACGTTAGCGGCAAAACTGTTTTATGCACTAAAAACTTTTTAAAATATGTTGTGTAAAAAAATATATATTGAGGTAATGGGCTTTACGGGTCATTCAATTCGAAGGTATTATTTCGCTGGTTGTGGCCTTATTGAAGCAAATGAAATTAATTGTAGCCACACTGTGGACACATAAATAGCATGCACGAATATCGAGGAAAGCGATGAACGGATTAATGCTTTTGGTATTCAATGAAAGTTTGAAAAGCAAAATCGACTGAAAGTAGGAATATTTCCAAAATTTTTTGGAGTACTTAGCCATGCAATAAACTTAAGATCTAAAAAAATAGCTGCTTCAACGCATATATTCAACAATCGGAAATTGTTGCTTTCGCCACAACACTTAGCATATACTTATGGACTCAGCTAAAATTAAAAAGCTTTTATAAAAAAAACTTTATTAATATAATCGCACTTTGAATGAAATAACGTAATATTACATGTGTTTTCATGCACTTGTTACTTAATTACCGTTATAAATTGTATAGGGATAGAATATGTGTAGCCCATGGTAACCATACATTGATATTTTTTACCATATATTTTTTCGCAAAAGCATTCATAAAAAGCGCCAGTAGTTTTTACGTTTAACCAAAACTTCAATTATGGCCTGGAATTTTATTTTTCTGCATGTCTTTAATACGCAACACTTCATCATAATAGTACGGTTACCAACGCCTGTTTTGTCAATACAGCCACAATTGACGCGCTAATAGCTTTTCTTTGGCGTGTTATTTCACCCATTTAAATACTAAATAATTAAAATTTAATTGAGCACATTCATGGGACTAATTATATTGACACCATCATGTATTCATATGAGATAAAATTAATAGTTTATTGATTTGAGTGAATGCATGTACAATACTTGTATAGTAAAAAAGCAAATAGAAAAGCAAACACAACGGAAAACAAAAATCGTTTACTTCGCAGCTATAATACCCTTCACAGATACATTTTTTATACCATAAAAGGGTATAAAATTATCTTTATCTTAATTTTGAATCAATTGTTAATTTTGTTCAGTTTATATGACAGCTATATGCTATAGTGGTGCGATCTGCACAATTGGTTAGGTGATTATAGCGATACCTTGGATATTAATCTGTGGTAAATTTTGTGAAGTTATCTTGTCAAAGAAAAAGGTTTTCCTTACGAGGACTTGAGTTTGAACGATTAGTTTGTATGACAACTATATGCTATAGTGATCCGATATCAACAGTTCCATAAATGTGCAGCTTCTTGAGTATAAAGGGCCTGATGCAAAAATGCAGGTTTATATACAAATAGACGGACACACATACATGGCTAAATCGGCTCAGCTCATCATGACGATCATTTATATATACATTTGATTCACTTAACCGACGTTTTCTTCTGTGTGTTATAAACTTCGTGGCAAATTTCAGGGTTATTTTTGTTTTTTTATAAACGCAGGCAATTGCCGATTTAGTTTTGAAAATCCAGCATATTTCGGATTATATTAAAATATCTGCTTGCACTGGATGGAAATCTCCTTCACGGAGCTTCTTTCGATAACTCTTTTACCCATTATTCCTTTTTCTTCCAGTTACGTTTTTCTGTTGCAGCATATGTCTCATAGAGTTATGTTTTAAAAAATTAATGGCTTTCATGTTGCGATTTTCTTAAGGCCGTTTGACGCACTTTCCGAACCTAAAATTGTGTTGTGTTAAGTTATATATGTACTTAGTTTGTAAGCGTTAGTGTTTCAGCTAAAGACAGCGACGTTTACGGCTTACTTCAGCGCATCGTCTACCATTTCATTCTCTAATTACTCATATTTATGATTTCACTTTAGCAACAACATCAGAATTCTTACTTAAGTCGCAAATATTTTTGGTAAACTACTCGTATGCTGGCATTCGTGCTAATGGTTGGATCCGTTGGCAGTTGGAGGTTAGGATGTTGATCCTAACAGGGAAACTCACTAGAACAGAACGCCAGACCGTTATGGTATTAAAACTCGAATAGATTTGATCATAACGACCCGCATAAATCGATACAGCGAAGGTATGACTACCGAGATATTTCAACCTCAGTCTTGTAAAAGCTGGACAGTGGGGGAGAAAGTGCCTGAATGTTTCTACCTCACCTTCTTCTATACAACTTTCACAACTTGACTACTCTAGCCCAGAAGGATTTCGTTATCGCACAGAAGCTGGTCGTCGATCAATGCCTGCTACGCGCACACGAGAACCATAGGTCCAGCGGTAGAACGCAAGGTGACAAGGGAGATTCAACTCGTTTCTACTTCGATGTGAATGTGGGGCAAGGGGCGCTTGTTAGCACATCAGCTTACCAGTTTCCAGCGATTCTGCTCTGATCAGTTACCAGTTTATAACTATTCCAGCCTTTTCTAAATATATTACAGTAATCTACCATTTCCCTTCGATTCCAATGCATGCACCATGCTACCATGTTTTGCGTATTTGCAGCTGTTTGTTTGAAGTCTTTTTGTTCATTTGAATTCACAATAAATAATTAATAAGTGAAAGAGGTAATGTTAGATTTACTTGTTCTTTTTGTTGCGAAACTCAACAATATGTTTGGTTCATCAATTATTTGTCAAATTACGTACACGGATACTGCTCATAGTGGGGGGTTCCCGGTATTAATTTTAAACACATTCAAAGCTTATTCAAAGCCGAAAGTTATCGGGGGCTCTGAAACCCGCATACCGATATCGCCGAAGAATGTAAAATAAAACTAAACTAAGAATTAAAACAACAAAATTAAAAGCAAAAATGAAATCTAAAGAAACGTGTGCAAAGCATAGGAAGTAGCAAAGAGAGTAAATACCTTGAAATGAGCATGAAAATAACGCGCTTAAGCATTAAATGCTTAGACTACGCGTTGAACAGTGGATGGGCGGGCCATATCCGGCGAGCAAAGCAATAGAAATTAAGCGCATAAATACAACAACAAACACATTTTTGCTTGTTTGCCACACGAGGCTTCATCTCGCTCTGTTTCTTCGCATTTCTCTCGCTGTTTATTTTTATACTTTCGAATTCATGCTTCTACGTGGTACGAATAAAACAATAGCAACAGCGAGCACGTAAATACGAGTAGATTGTACGGAGGATGTTAAACGCTTCGAAGCGGCAATAAGAACAAGCAAACTCAACGCAAGCGGATACATTAAATGGTGCTTAAAGCGTTTAACTGTATTTGCTCTTGAATTTTTATTTTCTAATTTTACAACGAGTAAATATATAATATTTTTTCTCTAATTCCACATTTTACCTGTAGCTAAGTCAGCTAACTGTAGCGCTCATTGCCACAGCAACACCGTTATCTGTGCGCCAGCTTAGAGCCACATGCACCCACACATACCTATACCCATATATATTTTAGTTGCTCCAGTATTTTTCCATCTTTTTTAATATTCTCACATTTCTTTTTTGATTTGCCACAACATTGGATTGGCGTACTGCAGCGGGCGCCAACGAAAAGAAATTGCCCGTAATTGTGTTCATACACGGCGAATCGTTCGAGTGGAGTAGCGGAAATCCTTACGACGGCAGCGTGTTAGCGAGCTATGGCGAAGTGGTCGTTGTAACGCTTAATTACCGCTTAGGAATTCTTGGTGAGTACATGAGCACAAGGAAGCGCTTGAGCTTAACTAACAGCACTAAAAGTGGGCATGCACCGACGCTTCCGAGTTGCGCACGAAACAAAAGGTGCAATAATGGTGTGTTGGAGAGTACTAAAATAATCTAGCATAGCTAGCGGAAAATATATGGAGCTAATAAAGTGCCGGCGTGTTAAGTTAAATTGCTACAAAAGCAGCTACGCAGCTACGCAACAACGACAAAAATAACTTAAGGGCAATAACTATAATTTATGTTGATTTTTGTTGTTGTTACTTTTTATTCTTCATCGTATAAAATTCATTACACATATTTTTTCATCGCTTCTCTCTTTTACTTGCCATCTCGCCGCAGGCTTCCTGAATGCTAACCCGAATCCGCAGGCACACGCGCGTGTTGCTAATTACGGGCTCATGGATCAGATGGCCGCGCTGCATTGGATACAGCAAAACATACAGAAATTCGGTGGTGATCCGAATGCGGTCACCTTAGCAGGGCATGGCACTGGCGCCGCATGTATCAACTTCCTCATGACTTCGCCGACCATGGTGCGTGGGCTCTTCCATCGCGCCATACTCATGTCCGGCTCGGCGTACTCGTCGTGGGCGCTGGTTGAGGATCCCGTGTCATTTGCTATCAAGTTGGCCAAGGAGGTGAACTGTTCGATACCGGAAGATTTGAATAAGCACCACGAGCAGATAGTCGATTGCCTGCGCGAAGTGCCGTTGGAGGATTTATATGCAGCGGACATACAAGCGCCGAGCTTTCTGACATCCTTCGGACCATCGGTAAGTTACGAAACCAGCCAAGAACAGTTAGGTGCTGCAATAATAAATAAAAACGGTATCCCGTATACTCAATGCATTTTCATACGCAAATGCTTCTTTGCACTCAGTTTTGATTTTAACTTCCATTCTCCCATTTATACTCTTAATAATCTATAATAAATAAAAATAAAAAATAGGGCAGCAAAAAGCCACATAAGCTGCATGTTAGACTATATTGAGCGTCTTTCTTCATAAACTTAAATTTTAGTTGGAAAACGTGCACTGTAATTCATTCATAAGGGTTTAAATATTTTAAAGAAAATATTCAATATTTTTCAAAAATATTCACAATTTCGAATTATTATTATAATTTTTTTTGTTGTTAGAAATATCAAGTATATTAAGTATCTAGAAGAAAAAAATAATGTGAAATACGTTTTCTAAATTCCGAAAAAGAAATATTAATACTATATAAGAAATGTGTTTCGAACGCAATTATTACCAATATTTCTACCAGGGAACATCTGTTGTTTGAAAATTATAAACATACATATAATACAAAGGAAATTAAGAGTACCAGGTTCAGCAAATAAGTTTATAAATCAAATACTACAGAAAATACTTGAAAACCTTATCCATAATAAATACAATAATTTAATAGTTTAGCCTTTTCCACATGACAGCCAAATTGAGGTCAAGTGTCGTAAGCAAACCCACTTGCTGGATGGGAAAGTCAGACAGCAGGATATTTATATACTCACATGCATATTTATGTATGGAACCAATATACGAGTACACGCAAAGAGTACTTAAGTTTAAAATGAAACGAAAAACTACATATCAGATCAAGTCATCATTGCCAAAGGTTAAAAGCAAACTAAAAGCAACAAACACCGACGAACTTCCACTCACAACTTGTGCTCACGAAAAGCGAAGTGCCCTCGGCTGGGTTGAGTGTGTATGCGTGTAAATGACAGCTTTCAAAATTGACGACCTTTTAGTGTTGACGTTAAATGATAATAGTAGATGAAAATTGACTAAAATGTATGTATGTAGTTCTCCAACAAAAGGCACAAGATGTTCAATGCGATTGTGAGGGCGATAACGTACAAAAAAAAAGGGAAGAGCATTTCGGGGAGCACATTTTGCATACACACTTAGGTATGCACGAATATGTGTGGAAGGGAGCAAAGGCCATAGTCATGAACAAAAACATGCAAAACTTTCTTGGGTAGGGGTCGCAGTTTCCAGAAAAATATTGTCGACGACGAGACATTAAGCAAAAGATCGGGGGTGAAATGAAGAATGTAACACATATGTATTTAGTTACTACTTTTGTGTTGAAATGAATTTCAAATGAGAGAGTATACATAAATTTAAAGACCGAAAATGAGTTTTTATATGTGTACTCGTACTGTTAGATGTAACTTTGAAACACAACTTTCTTTATAGAATATTATTTCGACAGTAAGACCGAAAGACCAAATTTCGGAATGTTAATAATAATTTGAAAAAACACAAGCAATTGAGCGTATATAGTATGACGGATGCTTGTTTACTTTCTACTTGATGTTATGAAAATTAGGTTTTATCTCTCAAGCTTTGGAATATCTACCAAATTTCTGATATTTCTATTGACTCACTTTTCACTTTCACCAGAGAAATTTTCAACGCTTGAATCAAACACATACATTTTAGTAAATAGATATGAAATTTCGGTTAACCCAAAGATCCTTCGAAATGCAGAAGATGTCCATAACTTTTTGATTTTAGACAAATAATACAATAAATATTGTTTTAACCTCATTTCTCTCTGTTCGCGTAAAACATATTGAACTTCGTATTTTTTATTATTTCCTTTTTTTGGCGGCGTCTATTAAAACATTCATTATTTGTGACAAAAATACATTTAGACATTCTAGTGGTTCGATGATTTGCTGTTTCAGTCCTTCATTTCCTTTTTGTCTGCGCCTGGCGACATTTTCGCGTTATCACTTGGCGGCGCGTCAAATTATTTTCACTTTATCATTTTCATAAGCATTTTCCAAAGGAAAACACTAAGCGCTCATCCCGCAGTCTCCAAGAAAATAAAAAATGTAGAGAAAAGAAATAAAGAAGTACTCGTATATATACTAATGCAAGAGGTTGGACAAAGCATCTCTATTAAGTGCAACGTTGCCAACCTTTTCATATAAAAAAAAATATTTCTTATTTATGTTCGCACTTCCTTTTGTTGTTCTCTGTGCTAGCATCACCCATTATTATCGGAGTGAAAGAACATTCTTCAGACACTTAACCCGCAAAACATGCCTCTTGTCTATAACACTAGACATTCCCTTGTTATTGTTGTAGCAATAATGACATTCTACACCGCGCGTTGCTGTGTGCAGCTGACTTTATTGCTCAATTTCATTTACTACATTTATACGACAGTTGTTTTTCTGTTCTTTTTGGCGGTTGGTTTCGTCAGGGCTATCACTCATTTTTATGCCTACGCCTATAGCTCTAACAAAAATACAGCCCAACACACGCACACGCACGCAAGAGCCCGCGCAAAGCAATCACACTAAAGATAGTTAGAAAAAAGTCTGATCCGTCAATCGAGCTTCTAAAATAATAAGTTACTATTTACGCATTTCGTTTTCAAACTGTTTCCGCCAAACTGACATTCAGCCAGACTCACTTTCTCTCCTTCTTTCATCGCTTTTTTCATTTTCAATTTAGGTTGATGGCGTCGTTATACGACCCGGACACTCCAATTTCGATATCGATGATTTAATGATGCGCAGCGCCAAACGTGCCTCAGCAGATGGCGGTGGCGGCGGCAATGGATTCTTTGGTAGCAGCGCTTACACAGGTGGCCCGGGTGGAGGCAGCAGCTTTGGTGGTGGAGGTGGCGCTTCTGCCAACGGTGGCAGCGCCAATGGCGGCAGCAGCTCTGCAGGTGGCGTTTACTACAGCGCGTTAACGGCAAACTATGCGAGCATGAGCAGCGGCGCCAACCTCGGTTTGGGCGGCAATGGCGCCCACTATGACGTGCTTTTCGGTGTGGTGACTGGCGAATCCATATGGCGTTTCAGCGCACACGACATTCAGAACGGTTTCGAGGGCGAGCGACGCGATAAGATTATTCGCACTTATGTACGGAATGCCTACAATTATCATCTCAATGAGATTTTTTACACGGTAAGTACAGAATCAGTTTGATGCAATGTTCAAGTGCTAAAGAGACCAGCAAAATGTATTCTTTTACCTGTATTTTATATAAAATTCACTGTAATTAAAGGTAAAAGCGGCTGTGGATGCGATAGACATCTTATTTAATTAAACATTTTATTTTTAGTGAGAAATAATTTTTTTTTTCGTTTCCATTGAAAGTTGCTATGGATATAACGGATTTTAATCAACACGTAATGAAAAGCACCGTTTTCATATAACGTTATTTTCAAACAATTTGTAAGGCAGCTATATGCTATAGTAGTCTGATCTGAATAATATATTTAGAGATTGTAACGTTTCCATAGGCAATAACCTGTGCCAAATATCTTAACAAATAAAGAAGTTTTCGATGCAAAAGCTTCATGGATCAATCAATATCTTTGTATGGCAGTTATATGTTATAGGGGTCTAGTATAGCCGACTCCGACAAATGAGATATTTCTTGGGGAGTAGAGGACGTGTTCAAAATTGCAGATCAATATCTCAAAAAATTTATGGACTCACGTATACACAGACATACTGAATGGATAAATAGACTTAGCTTGTCATGCTGATCATTTATATATGGAACCAACGGTCATCGGCTCACTTTCCTCTTCGCTTTGCACGACAAGCATTATTGTTAGAAATTCGTCGCTTAACCACACTGTTATTATTCTCAAGCTTCACAAAGAGATATGCCACAACGAAATGTTGCTTATGGTAGATGAACAACAGCGATTTTTAATAGTCAACCAACTTCCACAGCCACTCTACCTACCTACCTACTTCCACAACACATATGTAGGGGTTTCAGCCAAAGTCACACCACCTTTGGCGATGGGAATTTGCAAAATTAACTGAAAAATGATAAGTGAAGATGACACAACACTCTTAAACCACTAAAGCCGCAAGAGAAACCGAAGAACGTTTTCATATAAGCCAAAAATATTAATGAAGGACACTAACCAAACTCGGCAGAGACAACCATCTGTGGCAATGCTGCTAGTAAAAAGAGTAATTTAACAATATTGTGCTAGCTATTGTTGTTGTATCTCAAAAATTTGATAGATTTAAGAAGTCATTGAGGCAAGTGAATTTTCCCTGAAAATATGCTTAGCTTGAAGCTCATTTTACTAAATTAGCATACCCCATCGGCTGGGGGACTCTCGCTCAAATTAGCGTTTACCAAACGTCAGGAGACACAGAGCAACCACAGCCTCAAAGTCAGCGCGTCTAAGGAGATAATTTGAGTGATTGGCACATAAAAGTGAACGCAAACCGCATTAGCAAGCGGGGCGAACTGAATTGAGCTGAGTTGACGTCTGCGCTCGAGGGAGTAAAGTTATTTCGATATTTATGCTTCAAATTCAAGGAACATGGTGCCTAAAGTAGAATAAATTCTGACAGGATGAAAAGCTGTAAACCATCCTGCTGACGGAAAAGAATAGTGAGGCAAATCCTAGAGGGAGTGAGGAGAAAGAAAATACTAAAGGATTTACAGTTAGCTCTATTTTTTTCTTACTCATAAAATAAACACAACAAAAACCACAACCACTTTTAATGCCTACAAAGTCAAACTTAACTTGTTGTTGAAAAATGTACAGTTTATAAAATTTACCACCGTCATCTAATTAGAATACCGCCAAGTAATCTGAAAATTTGTGTATCTTGTCGTGACTACACAATAACACGTGCAATATAACGAACACAAATATTGACAAAAACAAACTTTAGACGCGACGCTAACGTCAGCCGGAAGTAACTAGCGGGGCTTTAAATCAAACGTAATTTAGTGAGCACCGATGCTTTTCTCTAACACAGAGAGCCATACAAATAGGTATTGTCTGGGTACTGCTAATTCACTTTTACTTTTACATTCTTGTTACTGCTGTAATTTAGCGCTTATTCAAACGAATCGGAGCCGAGTAGAACAAAAATGCGTTGGCATTTAATTAAAAGGAAATTTGTCGGAAATTAATGAGAAGTAGAAGCTATGGCTGGAACATACCGCACAATCAATGCTACCCAGAAAAGGCGAAAAGAGTACAGCGAGGAAAAACCTCGGTTCGGTAATTTAACTAATTATAGCAGCTGAAAAGGAAAAGCCGTCGAAGCATAATCGCAAAATCAATATGCTTCTTTCCAGTACACACAGTCACACACATGCGCACTAAAAAAATTAATTTGTTTCGATGAGGAAAAATATCAATTTTCGAGAGAAAAAAAAATATACTGATTAAATATACGAGTGAAGAGTACAGTACCTGATTTGATTCAAATGAATTCATGCGAAAAGTTTTTACTGTTTTTTGTTCTTCAAAATGGGAACGTTTATTTAAGAAAAATATGAACAATAATAAGTTTTAATCAAGGTATTGTTCAACTGAAGTTATATCATTTTCCCACCTTGCTGACAATTTGTGGATTCTATTCCAAAAGCACATAACTGGCTTGGCGCCCAAGTAGACAACACGCCAATTTTGATACCCTGTTCTGAGATGAACGATTTTGCTGTGAAAACGTTCTGCATCAACCGCAACAAACAGTTATCAAAAGGATAACTCTGTGCTATAAGACGCGTGTCTAGTCGCGACTTACGAGCGCTTTTTGTCAAGCGGTCGCTTCTATTTGATGAGTTGTTGTCGGTAGCGTTCGCCATTAATGGTTTGCACGGTTTTAGAAACTCAAAATTCAGCAAACCCTTCTGATTCCACCAAATAAAGACCCCGGTATCATGCATATTCAGCTTTGCCTTTAATTTGATTCCTTGAACAGGTTTCACATATAATATTTTTATTTACGAATAGCTTCAGTTAATATGATACCTGATTTCCTTGCTTTTGAATGTTTTAAAATGGCTGCTTGAGTGACTGCCAAAGATTCTGATCTGACTGATTCATGCTTCCACTTACCTTCAACCCCAGGACGGAGTTCTTTTTGAGCTTTCGTAAAATCGTCGAAAATTTGCACGGAAGCTTCACAGGAACTCGCTACTCATATTTATACCCATTAATTTTCCTTCAAACCCCTTCCTTACGCAAACACTTTAAAATTTCAAACACAATAACGTAAGCTAATATCTTTTAACCGCTTTGCTTCATCCTCTTGACGGCATTACTCATTCTCGCGGAACCTTTTTACCCGCACAACAATCACTGAGAGCTAATCAATTTACTTACCTTTTACCACTTTTTCTCCCACACCATATCTTAGATTTAATTTGAGTGAAGGAAAAAGTTAGCAAATTATAATTGTATAAAAAAAAAAACTTAAATTCTCCGTCCACTTTGACGTCGCGTCTAAGGCATGTGACCTTTACAAACTTTCCTTTATGTGCTGTTGGCAAGCGGTCAGTCATAACCGAAACTTCGCTCATTCAAAGTGAATGTTAATTATAGTTGAAATTAACCGTTCAACCGCCAGGCGTTCACTGTCGCGGGTCTATCCGCGACCTAATGAAGTTTTAATGGCGGCGCGTGCAACTCACTAAAATGCCTCGGTTAGCCAGATGTAGTTGTCTTTAATCCAAGCAGCTTTATAGCGCAGTTTTCTTTTACCACACTTTCAAATAAAAAAAACCCAAAAAATAGTAAAAAGGTTATTAAAAAAAAAACAAGATTGCAGCAATTGAATGCGAAATCAGCTACATATTTAAACTTAGTGAAATCAGGCATTTGAAACAAGCTTCTTACATTCTGGCAGTAATTGTTTTAAGTGCAAGAAACTAAGCCGCTAAGCGGTTTCTCTCAACGCTTGGACGCAGCGAATAGCAGCAAAGAGCTTTAAAACTTTTTGGGTAGAATGAAGACTCAGGTCTCATAAGAGATGTTGTCATCATTTGCTATCTCTCTGATGCCAACGCGATGTTGCCATTACTAAGAGAGGTGAATGGACAACTCACATGCACACGACCTCGACGACTAAATGCCTTGATCCACTTAAATACTTGTATTATTGATAAAGTAGGCTTTCTAAAATACTTCTGCACATTTTTAATTTCATTCCATTAAGAAGAGAAAATTGTGCAAATATTGTGCAAATATAGAATAATAATTAGATTGAATCGATTTGCGCGCGCAGTTTAAAAGAATCAGTCCGATTCTAATTTGATCAGGTGGTATGTGTGTGTAAGTAATACAGATTCACTTTTTTCTATAAACGTAGAATTATCCTAGAAAATTAATGAGTGTCTACTAAAGTTATGAGCACAATATCCTTAGTTGGTTCATACATTTTTTTGAATTCAACAATTTTATGCTAACAGCACCAAATTCGGTGACGAACTTGAAAAATTTTTTTATTAAAAAAAAAAAATCGAATGACAATTACTTGCCCAAATAAACACATGTGATCAAAAATCTTTATAAAACAATTCAAAGAACAACACTAAGAATTTTACTGCTGTTACCTCACAAGCAAGCTTTGCTCTTCAAATAAACAAAGAAACACAATAAAAACCAACAGAGAAATAAAAAAGCAGAAACCTTCCACATAAATGAAGAAAGATATGAAAAGCGAGTTTTATATGCACATAAAAATACTTTTATACGTAAATAACATTAACGGTATTTGTTCAATAAAAGCTAAGTGCATAGCTCAATATTAGTACATTGAGTTAAAAACTTTTTATTGTATTATAACCAAAACAAAGAACTTGTTTCAAGTCAGTGCTATGGGTGCAAGTAGAAAAGGCGGCGAAGAACCACATTATACAATATTTTATCCAATTAGAAAACGCGTGAAGAAACTATCGGTTATCTAGAGACAGCGTAAAGCAAGATTGGTTTGACTACCGCTGTGTAACGCCAATGCATTAGGCCAGGTGATAGGTTCCATGTAGACCCCAACATCTTCTTACATGCGTAGAGGGTACCACTGGCACATTTAGTTTCCACATCAGTTTGTTGTCAAAAATTACTTACTATTTTTGTTAGTTCCGTTCCTAGTAGGGAGTAAGAAAGCAATTTTCGATCGAAAAAGAGAAGAAACGAAAACAATAAACGTAGCCATCTGTCTAAACGCAGCTCTGTCAGTATTCAAAGGGTTAGAGTCTTTATTTCGCATATTTTCCTGCTGGGAAGGCTGCATAATCGCGTGCATTTGCTGATCAGCATCGACTATTTGTGCACATCCGCGTATTAACCATCAAATGCCAGCTAAATGAGCACGCTATCAGTTTCACCGGGACACACAATGCGAACTGACGCTCCTAAGCGTGTACACACACCCCCACCTAACCCTAAACCGACAATAAATTTTGAATATAATTTTTCTGTTTTGCTTGTTGCTTTCACAAATTAATGGTCAGACAACACGTTATAAGCAGTCACCGTGGAGAGTACGTGTGGGTGTGTGCGTGAATGTGTGTATTTTGAAAAACTGCTAATTTGCTGAATTTTCACAGCTTATTTGGTTTTTGATCGCCGTCCGCAGCCGCGATCCCCTCCGTCGGCGTCGTCCATTATTCAGCACAATGTTTTGACAATGTCCGCACATTTTGTTGTTTATCCATTGTTCATGTTGGTGTTGTTGCGTGTGTACACACGTTGAACGTATTTGGAGCGTGAAGCGTTTGTCAGGTGGCCAGGGCTAATAGAAGGTGGTATAAATTAATTGTTGGTTCGCTGCTTCAATGATTTCGCAAACCCGCTCCGTCGGGAGCGGGAACACGAGTGCCCCTGAAGTTTGCTTACTATGCATTATGGAGCGAAAACGCTTGAATGAGTAATGCGTGCTCAAATATTGTGCATTTTGTACAACATAGATTTTGTTTGTTGTAGATAGTACAACTGTATAACTGTACAACAACGTTTCAGACAGGTTTGAATGGAAAATATACACAAAATAGGTGATTAATAGTGCCGGTGATTGAACGTGATTGACAGGTTTGAAGCGGGTAAACAAAAAACACGGAACGGTATTGATAAATTGCCATGCTAATGAATAGAAAAAAATACTTAAAATCATCCGAAGCCCTTTTGAGGGATACACATTAATTTACTATTGGCATTATGCCGTTTTGTGGCAGGAGATAAAAACGTGTTTTAAGCAACCAAATCTTTATTGTTTCTCTTTTTGAACGCTAACATGGATGGCTTTACATTCAATTTTTTTTTTTTTGTTTTGGGCTCAAGGATTCAGCAGAGATACTTCTCGTTACCTGTAAATATTTATCAGCATTTCTGATAGTTAGTGAAAAGCCTGTACATCACACTTACCTAGGCTAATCTATCTGACTTTGAACAGTACGATTATATAAGAGTGATTGGAGCAGCAACACCCTTTGTCAACTTTTACAGCTAACAAAAAGGACATTCCACACAGGGCTTACAAAACAAAAAAGTCAAGACAAGTCAGTTTCTAAGCTCTTTGCTACTTCCTTTCTGAATATTCCATTTGAATTAGCTTGAATGCAAAAAGAAGAATGGTAGTGAATATTTCAAGGAGTTATGTCCACTACAAAACCAAGAAAAACGCGTTTGTGCGTCAATTTTTTGAAGACGCATTTTATTTATAAATAAAAAAAAATATTAAAAAAATATATTTACAGAATTTAATGTATTTGAATAATCGGCAGTTTGTTTTGAAAAATTTTTACTTCCCTTGATCCCGTAGCTGATCTTCAAGAGGACCTTTGAAAAAAGATGTCTGGTAGTTTTAGAGTATCTCAACTCTAAAAACCACACAAAAACGTGTATTATTACCATAGAAAAATACAGGTAATTATGTAAAGTGGTTTTGGCCAAATAGCGGCTTCCCAAAAATAAGTCTTCTTTTGTCAAAAAATTTACATTTTATCGAGATCTTATGTCTACGAGCATAACTTAACAAATATATCTAAGAAGGTTGTGTGAAAATTTCGATCGGACCAGCCATTTCGAGGAAGTTTAAGTGGAGAAAATGCTCACATCTCTGAAACTATTTGGCTAATCAACTTGAAATTTTCAAAAAATATTTGATATAAACGCAGAAAATCGATTTTTTTTTCCAAATTCACAAGTGGATCTAACCCTTTTCGCTCCTACATGTGTCGTGCCATAGTTTTCTGTATATACGCATGTGTCTTGTGTTGCGTTGCGCTTCGTGCGTGACAATAAATTAAAACGTGAAGCTGCAAAAATCACAAAAAAAAGCAAGTACGGCGTCATGTCAGAGGAATATGCAGGCATCACATACCGACGCCAAATATCTAGCTCGGCATTAAATTATGCATGTGTGTGTGCGTGTGCGACCAATTGCGGTAAATTACTTGCATGAAGGCTGCACTTCTATTTATGATTATTCATGTCCACGCTCCCACGCACACACCGCCTGTAAACATGGGGGACGCATATTTTTATGCAGCAAACAACACAACAACACTTTTGGGTATGCGGTTGAATTAGTGCGACAGTTAAAACATTATATAATATCAAAACGCACTTTTTGTATTAAAACTTCAACACACGTGCGTGCTCACGCATGCGCGCCCTACATAAACGCACCTATGTGTGTATGTATGTATGCTTGTTTGTGTTTCTTTCTATAAATATTGGCCTCGCCTGCCTTAGCATAACTATAGAAGCGGTGTCCTTGCAGTTGCAACACACTGGCACACGTGCGCACATATACCAGCATATTTACACTATATACATATATACATATATATATATATATATACGAGTTGAACGCAACTACTGACAGTCATTCAGTCGAGAGTAACACTTAACCTAAATATGGCAGAGGCTTTCTAACAGACAGACACATTTGCAAATGCATTTGTGCATGTAAAGCTTGGCAAAGGAAGAGCACGCACGTAGCGATGCTCACGCACGCCCACACAGATGCTATACATGTGGCACATTGGATTGCGCACAGCCATTGTGGCCTGAAAGTGCATCTGCCTAATGTGTGAGTATATGTGTGGGTGTATATTCTGTGCTGTGCGCACCTAACCAAGTGTATATTTATCCGCTAATGAGTGCGTAAATGCGCGTGGTAAAAGTATTTTCATCTTTTGAACTTCAAACTAAGAAGTTACTTTTATATTCTGATACAATTTAATGCCGTATGATGCTATATTTAAACACCCTGCATCACAACAGTCAAAAAAATTCGAAAACAATATTAAAAAATTTTTTTTTGAGCCAATAACATTACGATTAATACACACTCGCTCCTATTTTATCCACTTCGCAGATCGTTAACGAGTACACCGACTGGGATCGTACGTCGCAGCACCCGATTAATACACGCGACACCGCTGTGGCAGCGCTGTCGGATGCGCAATTCGTAGCGCCCATCATACGCACCGGTGACCAATTGGCCGCCAATTCGCCGCCGCCCATATCGAGCAGCAGCAGCTCAGGTGGCGGCACGTCTTCAGCATCGACCGCTGCGGGTGCACAATCGGGACGCTGTTACTTCTACGTTTTCGACTATCAGACAAAGGACGGCGATTATCCACAGCGCATGGGCACGGTACATGGCGAGGACTTGCCCTATATATTTGGTGCACCGCTCGTGGATGGTTTTAGTCACTTTCCACAGAACTATACGAAATCGGAGATAGCCCTGTCCGAGGCGGTGATAATATTCTGGACAAATTTCGCCAGAACTGGGTAAGTATATGAGTGCCGCCACTACGCTTGTCAATTTTACTTAACTTAATATATATAATATTTGGTGCAAGCAATTAAATTGTAGGGCACGAAAATTTTAAGCATAAGGCAATTCAATTAAATATATTTTAATTTTTTTTTTTTTTTGTTTTATTTACGATTATATTTATATGTGTTAATATACTTGTACTTGTAAATACTCGTATATATGTACGGTCCGACATTTTTCATAAAGCCTTCGCTCATCCGAATTTGAACATATACTTGAAAATGAACCAATTCACTTGTACCTTTTGGAGTTAACAATGGAATTACTCGAAAAAAATTCAGCAAGCCGAGGGATAAGTGCAGCAATACCCTTTATTCTCTTTTGTATATTATATTTGTCGGTGCCAAGGCGACAAAAATTCTTGTTTTTCCATCTCTCAACCCCAACTGTTTGTTGCAGGATCCGCCAGCATCGACACGTGGCATAAATAATTAAAGAAACATTTAAAAAAATGCACAAAAAAATAAATGTCTAAAAGCAAGTAGTGTATTTGGAGCCTACTTTCACACACACATACACAAAGTGCCTCAATATAACATATTATTTTTCGCTTAGTTCTTATTTATACAATTTTCATTTTTAATTTCATGCTTCATGTTTTTGCGCATCACCATAAAGTGTAGAGTATTTAACATCAAGTGTCCTTAGTACATTATGACTGTTGGATTTACATTCACTCCGCTTCGTTTGCCGGGAATGCCATTCCAGCACTTGTCTAGCGAGTACAAAGAGCTTTAATACCGACCCATGTACACACATTTACAATACGTTTAGCACAATTATTACAACCCTGTAGAAATTTCGAGCACATTACAAGCTCACCTCATATGTATATTTGGTAGCTTATTGTTTATTTATAAATTTAACTTTTGTAGGCATATTCCATTCATAAACTTTTTTTAAATTACGTCATAATTCTTTTTGATATTGTACGACAAAAGGCGAGTTCCACAAGTTTCGCATGCCTGTGAGCAGCTGATGGTTTTCGTGTGAAGCTTTTCATAACAGCATTACATTGGTGTATGCTGAAGAGCGACTGTTGTTTGAAAAAGTTTTTACTATAATTTTCGAATTTTGCTATAGAAATTAGGTTTTTTTCGTATTTTTCGTACCAACAGACTCGATCAAAGCGATAAAGTTCCTGCAGGGTAACTACTCTCTACACGTGCCACACTAATTTTGCAATAGAGTTTTCATGTTTGCGAATGCATGCCCACATAACCGACAAGGGAGATATTGTTCAGCGCCCTTTTCAACTTTATATGTTTACACTTAGCTACGTATGTGCACATGTATGGATGTGTGTGTATACGCTATATGTAGAGAGTGTTGAAGTGGACTGTTAATGTTCGTCACTTTGGCTTTCCAACACTTTTCTGCTGTTTAGACAGAAAAACTGTGTTGAAAAGCCAGCATTCATTTGAAAAAGATTCAGAGCGATAAAGTTTATATATAATATGTATGTACGCATTTACAGAAGTGATGAATCTCAATTAAGTTAACAAAGGAATTACAATTAATACAGACGCTTTCGAAATATCAGCAAATGATAGCAATTTAAAAATCATAAGAAAGATGCTCATCGTATTCTGTTATTTCTTTTTGCTATAAGGCGCGTGAGACAAAACTTTCAAGCCGCTCTAGCAACATGTGGCCTAGCGTTGTTATAAATGAGAATTATTGCCTAGTGTTTAGTCGCGAATTCCGGATGTTTTTCGTCAATCGCTCGCTTTAATTTGATGATTTGTTGTCGCTAGCGTTCACCATTAATGGTGTCACCCAATATATTATTCTCCAATTACATTTATTTTACATCTTTATATAATCCTCACTCTTTTTCTTCCAGCAATCCGAATGAGCACCATCGTCAGGACTCCGTGCTACCCGCCTCCAAAGAGCGTAATCGCTTCCGCAGCACCATTTGGGAAAATTATGATCCGCTGCATCAAAAGTATCTGGAAATCGGTAAGTTGCCGCCACTGATTGTAGGAAATTAACAACGTTTTATCAATAAAGTCATATTTATGGCACTTGTTCTCTGAAAGAAACTTTTTACTTAGCGCATTCTGCGATAGGTTTCAAGGGTACAATATAAGAGATCGCTCATCTCTTTGACCTAAAGTGCACCCCCTCATTCAGTTTTATTAGCATTTATCTTCCATATTTTATGGAATATTGTTCGACTGAATAAAAAGTAATTTTACTCAGAACATCTACATCATTTCCGATCATTTATTGGGTAATTGGGTTAATCATCGTACTATGGGTGCCGCAATCGCAACAAATCGCCATTAAATGTATTTACATTAATGTAGTTACTAACACTCTCTCCCTGCACCCAACTACATAGACATGCGTATCGATATACATAGGCAAGTGTGCAGTTAATTACAGTTATGCGCATTTTGTGTGGTAGCTAGCAGCTCCTTCCATATCCCCCTGCTCAGTTACTTGCGTTACTCTAAATGACCACGCCCCTCAGTGCTAAAGCATAATTGTTTGTGTTATTAGCGACGTGAATTTGCTTCACTGCTGTGTCACATTGTTTATTTATTTACTTGCCTTATGGGTATAATCGTGTCTAAGTTTCCTTGCACAACAGCTGGCGTTATTGGTATTAGAAATTTTGCTTATTTTGCTGCCGAAATGGATAAACAAATTCTCCTTTCTATTACTCTCCTCCAAATTGCGGGCATTACTAGGCAAAATAAGTTGTTTTGACAATACTAACTTCGATCAGTATAGTAATTTAAAAGGAGTATATGTGTCAGTTATGCTCTACAAATGTATCTATAGAACAAGTTCAGTTATTTAATACGGCAATGATTTACAGAACACGACGTCATTAATGTGCCTGCTTAATGACAGTATCTATATCCACCACAGCATGACTTGCTCCTAGCTTGGGCCTTATGGGTCTGCAGCGGTAATACATTTTTCGCGTTAACCCCTTCAGGCTCTCACCATGATCTATATTTAATTTAAAATTTAATATTTTTAAAGCATAAATAGACAACAACAACAGCAACATTGTAACAGCTGCCGCTTTAATAAACCATAATTATTTGCATACAAATTCAAGACTTGAGAGCAGAAATCACAGTAAACCACATAACAACAGCAAAAACAACAAATTCGTAATAAGTGACAGAGCAAAAGGATAAAACGGTGCGAAAAACTGCCAGCAACAAGACACAAATGCATATATACATTATTAATGTCGCCTTATCTCACCTTCACAGTGAGATTTGCGAACACACACACACACACATGCGGAGCCGATTGGGTTTACGGTCGCTTATATTCTGCTCGGCGGAGTATTAACACAGCTGCTAGTACACGCACGCACAATAATAGCAACTGTGGAGATTTCCGTAATTGCGTATACGCCTTGACAAACCCTCTTGATAGTAGGCTACTTTGATGCGTGCCGTTTGTTACGTAACTGATGTAACAACTGCTGCGCCCACCGCACTTTGCCATGGAGCGGCGAAAGCGATTTTTGAAGCATATGCGAAGGCGCTGCACAATTCTCACCGCCACAAATATGTTGCTTAGGCGCGTTTTTGTTGGCAAGTGTGTTGAATCTACAGTGATTATATTGTTATATTTCCAAGCAAATATTTAGTAAAATATGATATAATACATTTGTGCATAAATTGTGATGTTGGACTACAATCTTAAGTTATGTCCTGATTATCGGAAGTTATCACCACCAAAGACTATAGTTTTACGAAAATATTTAGATATTTCAGCTTCAAAAGCACTGCTTGCCATACACATATGAAGACATCGTATAAAATAATGGTAAAGGTGGAGTCTGCTGATATACAGCGCTCACAGGTAAACAGTTGAGCTCTCCAGCTGTTTTGAGGTTACTAGTACATGCCAACAGTCAAGGTGTAGTAGATGCTGTGTCAAAGGAAAATGAAGGCAACATAACATGACATACACAGATACATAAAAAATAAATGTGGCTAACCGCTTTGGATATAGAAATCAAAACTGCGCCATTGAGTTGCGGCAGAGCGAGTGGTACGCGGCAATGGCAAATCCGCTCTTGCTTGCTTGTAGGCGGTGTAAATTGAGCGCTGTCACGCTTAAATGCCACAAACACATATACATGCATATCTACTCGCAATACACATATATTCAAATTTGTACACATTTGCGCCGAGCATATGCCACTTGAGATTAAATGTTCTGCGTGATACGATAAGCCGTAAAGCAGATGTGCCAGTGACGTGCCTAACCCCTCGCACTGCAGTCAACTTCACACATTACGTGGCGCCCTTGCTGCCGCATCTGGAAACTTTTGCGATAATCTCTCCTTATTGCCCTTGTATGTTTTCTCGCCTCCTCATCGCATTTCACGGTGCGTCATGCCAACGTCAAAACGAACTTTCAAAATTAAGCAATAAAAGTTTTAACGAAAATAAAACTCAAAGTTCGCATACTCGCACACACACAAACACATATACACACATACAAATGCAAATGCTTGCTTCCGGCAACTTGCGGGAGGCGAGCAGCAACAAGAAAAATTGTAAGAAATTAAAAGAAGCGAAGCTTACGATGCTGTTCGAAATGATATGCGCATAAATGTTGATAAATTCAAATATTCCAGCGCGATATTTAGGTATTCTCAAATAGACATATGCTTTTGCAAACTGTAACCTTCTCCTCATCACCACACAGTTTCAAATGTGTTGATTTTATCATGTGCAGCACGTCATGGTATTATCGCGAATGCAGTATTCAAAAAAGAGCAAATAACACTTGGCTTCCGGCTTTTGATTAAAGGTTAACATATGACACTTACAAATTTACTTTATACCTGCTAATGCTTCTGATAGCCCTTCACTCGAGCACAGATGAGTGAAAAGAGCAAATTTATTTCATTTATTTTATTACGGACTGTTGATGTATGAAGAATTTTTTTCTTATCTATTTTATAATACTTTTTATCAAGATCGAAACTTTTTTATGAGAAGCACATACATGATAAAGCTCCCAACGGTAAAAACTGTACTTAAACGCATGTCATCGCATATCTTCTGCTTAATCCAAGCCAACGCTAACAAATACTGAAACGGAGACTTTCAGTGGTAGAGCATTGCTTAAGACATGGCCTGTCTTGCAAATCCATTGAATTACGATGTTGGGATATCGCTTTTTGTAATGTTAAAGTTCTACGAAAATGTTTCCCTAGTTTGCCACAAAATGCTTAAATTGTTCGCTCACGTATACCATCAAAACCACTACAAATTTCACCTGGAGTGACAAAAGAAACCTAATTTTCAAGTCTTTATTATCGCCTTCGATCTTCTTGAGCCAATGCAAGCATGCTAGCGCTAAATTCATTTTTCCATTCACTTGTTATAAGTCTAGGCTGAGATGGTTTTCTAATCACTAGATTGTTGTAGGGTTCTCAACTACGTTGTCACGCATCTCTTTTGCGACCTTTACTCGGCGTCGTTTTTGCAAGAGATTCTGGGCTTTTGGTACGAGTCCAGCATTGACACGCTTCATACTCAAAATATTAATCAAAATGTATAGAGTCGATCTATAAGAGATGTTGAGCTCCTCAACTATCTCTCTGATACTAACACAATGAATTTCAAGCACCGTTTCTTTATCTCTCTCAATATTAGCGTCATTAACAAATGCGGATGGACGATGAGGGAAGTTTACGGTGATTTCATAACCTTCACTAAATGTTTTGTGTCACTCAAACAGTTGTGTTCTTAATAAAGTAGACTCTCCAAAGCAACATTCTTATCGATTTCGTAGCCGTGATTTATTCCAAAGGAAACACAAAATTTCAAGGAAACTCGTTGCTCAAGTTTATTTCCATGGCAAAAATTGTCAAGCAAACTGCAAACATAAAAAATGATTATACCAATGTAGGATCGAATTTCGTATTTATTAGCTTTGCGACAATGCTATTTACCCAGGATTATAGTCCTTTCGCCAGTTCATTGGAAATAACAGATTACCAAACTTATTTAATATTATTGGTTAATTTCTGTACGGGAAGAATTAGTGAAAGCTTTTGCGGACTCCGACAACATTTGTCAAGTTTAGTTGACGCTTTACACCGCGCCCTAAGCGCCAGAACTGATTCTACACTAAATACTCCATACTTAAACACACACTATTTAATCTACTATTTTACACAAACTCATGCAGTTTCCCATATTAAGTTACACTAAACACTAAATGGAGAAAAAATTATGTCGCAGAATTCAATGTCAAGTTCATTTTTCTTTGTCATTCGCCGCACTCGTTATCCAGCGGAGACAAAGAAAACAGCGAACCCTTTTTTGCACGTTATCTCAATTTATCTAGAAAGGGATAAACCGCTCCGATTGGTCAAAAGTCAAAACTGCAAGCAAAAACTTGAGGTTTCATTGTCATATATTCATAACTTACATGTTTGTATGTAGTTGTAAGCATTTCTTTGTTGTTGACTATATAGGTTAAGAAGTAACCCTTTTCTTTTTGAACAGCAAAAACAAAATGAAGAGCGTTATCTTTTTCAACTGCTGTCATTCTCATTCAGCTTTAGCTTATTACTACATCTTCGTCTTATTTTCTCGTTTCAGGCATGAAGCCTCGCATCAAGAACCACTTCCGGGCACACCAGCTCTCTATTTGGCTACGCCTCATCCCAGAGTTGCATCGCGCCGGCATGGAGGATGTCATTACGCGTCACAATTTATTTAAAAATCATGATGACATGAATTTGTATGAAGGGCCCGTGAAACCGGATCCCTTCGCTTCGACGCGCTTGCTACTCATCGATGATGCGCTGCTGCGAAAGGCTGGACGTGGCGGCAACCTGACAGGCAGTTACATAAGCGGCGTCTTGGGTGGTAAGTTGTCATTTATTTACTTTATATTTTTGAACCGTTCAACACAGAAGACAAATCGGCAAATATTTAGTCGAATATATGTACATATATACAAATAGGCTTCGTTATGAAGCAGAACATCGAACTCGTGTACACAACTGTGTGTGTTACGCCCACTGTGTTTGCTGCAGCGCCCGGCTTATAACACACGACGACATGTCAACTTTGCAAACATTGGGCGCTGTACGGTACTCTTCATACGGCGTTCGGTTGACAGTGTTTTGCAATGGTGCCGCAACGTCTGCGTGTCTGTTTGTTCGTCTGGCTGACCTGTTGTCTATCACTTGATCCCACAGTAAACATACAAACAATGTGATCTGAGTTGTCCTTGGACAAACACACATTTGTTTTACCAAGCAACTGATGAACTCTCGGCTTTGCTCGGTGTAAGCCGCACTTGTATTCATCGTAGACGTGCTGACTTGTGGCATGGAATGGCAATCGAACTGAAGTAGGCCACATTGTGACATTTCAATCGTTTCAGTGCAGCTGAGTGGTTCGTGATTTCGCATTCCCTTTGGCTATTCGCTGCGGGCAGCGCAATCAACGCCAACTCATACGCTGACTTGTTGTCTTTCATTTTGTTGCCATATCAACGTCATTTTCCTGCTCGAAACACACCTAAACGCTCACCTACTAATGCAAAACTGTCCGATGGTGCATTCAGCGCAAAGAGTAAACCCATTGTTGTTGCAGCCATTTTGTTTCGCATAAGAGACTAATAATGTTTTCAGTGGACTTAAGCTTATGAAAGAAAATTTTACTGTTTTTTGCTTTAACCAAATTACTTTTTAATAGCAATTTAATTGGCCCAATCGGTTTGAAGTTCTTTGTGCTACTAACTGCTCGAGGTTTGCTTCTATAACAGGCTAGGTGCTTTAGTATTTTCTTTTCTGCACTTCTGAGTCGGTTCTTTTTTGCGTTAGAAAGTGCACTCCTTAGAAACTTTGTGGGAGTCGTTGATATCGGACCACTATAACTCATAGGCGGCATACAAACTGACCGATCAAAATCAATCTAAAGCACTTTGTATACCGTATAAGCAATGCAGCAATATGAAGGATATTGCAGCTTCGTTGTAGCCGAAGTTAACGGTTTTTCCTGTTTTCATATAGCTTTACTTTCCAAAGGCGCGAGTTTCGAAGCAATCACAACTCAACCTTAACTTAAATACACAAATTCCTTTCCCTTTTCGTTGACATTTCTGCACTTGTCAGTTGCCATTTTGAAAACAGTAACAATAAAGGATGCTCCAACAATTTAAGCGCTGTAAAAAGTACTATACACAAAGCGCCTTATCACCGTATGGGTTAAGAGATATCTGAGCTGCTGCTTTATCATACGATTTTGTTGCTCAACTCACTCAATACCTATGTACTTGTGTGTGTGTGTGATTACATGTGGTTTTGTTTGGCGATTGTCTTCTAGTGTTCAAGAGCTGCCGCAAACACTTTCATATATCGATTCATTACCTCCCACCCTTCAGCCGCTATACACCACCAACTTAATCGAAGCACCTTGTATCTGACTTACACACACACACACACACATGTATGCGCACATTCGCTTTTGTCTTGCTGTTGTGTTGTTGCCGACATGCCTTTGTTGTGTCCACATAGCTTTCCTTTGTTTTTGGCATAAAAGGGAATCGTAATTTCAGAACCCATTAAAATGCCACTTGCTTTGGTCTGGTCACTCAAAATGTTCAAATGTTGCCGCTGGCATTGTTGCCATATTTCCAATATTTTAATTATAACATTTCCTTTTGTTGACTTCCTGTCTCGTTCGTTTTGACTGAATGCTAACGAGTCTTTGTTTTTTTTTTTTGCGCTTATTGTGTGCACCGAATATCGCTTCGGGGGTTCTTTGGTAATTCAGAAAATTGTCTTTTAATTTGTTTTTCTCGGAACTTCATTCTGACAATTTAAAAAGCATGTACATGTATACGTACTTGTGTCTATGTGAGTGTTTAATTATTTCATTCCTCAACCAAATGTACATGAGTATGCATAAATGTATTTGAGTATGTTTCGATGAAAATTAAATTTATTCTGTCTTACTGTTCTCTGGCAGACATACGAACATCTACACACACACACACACAAACACGCACACACGTGTAATTAGGAAAATCCTTCCCGTTGCCATCCAAGTGGCAATATGGTACACACATATAATATTATATATATGTATATGTATTTGCTTTTATTTTTTCTCTTATGCTTATATAATTTGATATCAGAAACCAAAAAATTGAATTTTTGCGGCAAACTTTTGAATTAGTTCTGACATTTGCCAAAAGAAAGTTTGAATCAAAATTTTCAGTTTCACAAGAGAAAGCTATGTTAGCCAACATGTATAGTTTCATTTTCAATGGATTCCAGAGATTCTCATGATATATTAATTTATTTTATTTGATTTATCTGTAACCGAGAAAAAAGTCATTTTGACACAAATAGTTATATATATTTATAAGACAAATAAATACGGCATTACCTATTTACGAATTTAAATATAAAATTTTGAATGCTTTGGCTAATTGGTTGCAGATGCGAACTACGCTCATGAGTTATGCTAACTAAGCGCTAGTAAACAGTTTGCAGATCTTGACTTTTCCACCCGCAAAACCAGTTTTTAAGGAATTATTAATAAAGTCCTCCCATTTAAATGGGCATATCGGCAAACCCGGTGTTTCGTGTCGCAATATTTAATTCAAGGCACTAAAATAAACTAGAGCTTGATCGCATTATTAACGCTTAAAAAATTGTCGTGTTGGCATTAGAGAGATATCAGAGGATCGCAATATCCCTTATGTACCGACTCAACACATTTTGGTTAAAGTTTTGGGTATATATCTTGTCAATGCTAGCATCGTACCACAAGACCTGAATCTTTTGCAAAAACGACATCGAGTAGAAGGTCGCAAGAGAAATGCTTGACCACATAGTTGTGGACGCTACATTCATCAAAGGCATTATTACTTGTGACGAGACGTAAGCTTATTAATATGACGTCGAAATTGTCAAATAATCTCGCGAATGGCGCTCCAAAAATAAGCCAAAACCAAAAAGCCACGTCAAAGTCGGTTAAAAATCAAAAAGAGCCTCGTGTGAGGCATTTTAGCACGAAGTTTTTCCGACAACAATATTGAAAGCTTTATTAACTTTTACTCCCAATAAATAGTTGTTACTTGAACGAACCGTAGAAAATTTGTGTAGATAGACTTTCACCTAAATCATTCAAACCATTTGGCCACCTGTCTTAGCTTATCTTCCAAAAGCTTTCCAACTGGCTTACTTTTTACAGCATTGGAAACAAATTTTAATATCTTTTACTGACACGAAGGTAGTTCGAATTTTTTCAAAAGCATATTAGCAACCAATTAAAATGTCAAACTCTTCCGAAAACAACCATAGCAACAAACTAAATTTATGTAAGGCAGCAATTAAATCGAAGACATTCTCCGACGAAAGCACTCAACTGAAGCATCTTAACGGCAACAGGGAAAATTATTATTTTTATTCATTGTTTCCATCCTTTCTTGCATTCATTGTTGTGTATACGTGTGTGTTGTAAACCTCAAACCGGAACGGTAATTTACGAGCGGCTTTGCTGCCTTCACTTCATACTCATAACAATTTTCGGCAATGTCAACACAATAATCGCTGTTGTTGCTAACCATTTTTTCAAGTCAAACAGATTGTCTTTGTTTTATTTGTGCAGGCAAATTGTGGCCGAATCGAATATTTCAACTTGAATGAGCAAAATATTCCCAAATTTCACTCGCATACCGATACTATCAAATAAACATCGTCGCATTCGTGTGAGTGCCAATGTTTTGCCATTAATACCGCAGCTGGGGAGGAAATTTAGATTTGGGAAAATTGTTGGGGCGTAGGTGAACTATTCGGTCGGTCCATTAAACGCACTGACCAATGCCGGTAATTGTCTAAATGTGGTAATCATAATAGGATTGGAGTAATTCTGGTAATATTGCGAATGACCGAATGGACTGTTTCGTACTTGTATACATAACACAAGAGTTTTGATTGTAATAACACCGTCTATGGTTTAACTGTAAAATCCCAAGTCATGCAATTTGCCTAATTGACTAGGCTGCAGCACCCGTTCGCATGATTATTTTGCAAAAATCGATGTTAATAATGTGTGTGTGTGTGTGTGTGTGTGTACTGAAAACCACCTAAACGCTGTAGTATGCTACAAACTACACTTTAACTAGTTCCATGTAAGCAACTGGTGTGTGTTTTCAGGAACTGATGTTCTACGAGGTAACTATTCATATTTCTGTCAATATTTCGTTGAGAAACGTACCACTGGCTCAACAAATATCTTCTTAGAAAATACTTTTAAATACCATTTTATTTTTTTTTCCTTTGTGCACTTTTCTTAACGTTCAACTATTTACTTTTACCAATATTTTACTGTTCCAGTAGAGTTTGCTTTGTATTTATAAGCGTACCTTTCGTGGGTAATGATAACTTTTAATTACCAATTAAATTACTTTTCTTTGTGCACATTTTTTTACTTTTACTATCATAAGCTCATTTGTTCAATTGTTTCGAATCAGAAATTTTTCTGTTTAGTGCGTGTTTCATACCAGTTTACCGTTGTGCAGGGTTACAAACCAAGGCATAATACGAAAGCAACGCTTGAGAGAAAAGCAATTTGTCGTCTAGGAACAGTTTAACATATTTGAGAGTTCCTTCTCCCTGGGAGACCGCTTTGTGGGTAAAATAGTTCTGTAATTACTTGCAGAATACACATACAAATACACACGCTGGTACATTCTCATTCAATTTTCACTCAACAAATAGTAACATTTTGGTCTCGTATGGGTTGCTTTTGTTGTTGCTGCTTTCGACTTTAGATCTGGCATATCACGGCCATTTCTTGCAGCTCGCACAAGTGAAATCCGTAAAAAGGTCTTCGTTAAAAGCAAA